CAGTACCATCTCAGGACATGAAAATCATGCCTGTAGTACCATCTCAGGACATGAAAATCATGCCTGTAGTACCATCTCAGGACATGAAAATCATGCCTGTACTACCATCTCAGGACATGAAAATCATGCCCTGTAGTACCATCTCAGGACATGAAAATCATGCCTGTAGTACCATCTCAGGACATGAAAATCATGCCTGTAGTACCATCTCAGGACATGAAAATCATGCCTGTAGTACCATCTCAGGACATGAAAATCATGCCTGTAGTACCATCTCAGGACATGAAAATCATGCCTGTAGTACCATCTCAGGACATGAAAATCATGCCCGTGTAGTACCATCTCAGGACATGAAAATCATGCCTGTAGTACCATCTCAGGACATGAAAATCATGCCTGTAGTACCATGTGCCTGAGGACATGAAAATCATGCCCATCTCAGGACATGAAAATCATGCCTGTAGTACCATCTCAGGACATGAAAATCATGCCTGTACTACCATCTCAGGACATGAAAATCATGCCTGTAGTACCATCTCAGGACATGAAAATCATGCCTGTAGGACATGAAAATCATGCCTGTAGTACCATTCAGGACATGAAAATCATGCCTGTAGTACCATCTCAGGACATGAAAATCATGCCTGTAGTACCATCTCAGGACATGAAAATCATGCCTGTAGTACCATCTCAGGACATGAAAATCATGCCTGTAGTACCATCTCAGGACATGAAAATCATGCCTGTAGTACCATCTCAGGACATGAAAATCATGCCTGTACTACCATCTCAGGACATGAAAATCATGCCTGTAGTACCATCTCAGGACATGAAAATCATGCCTGTAGTACCATCTCAGGACATGAAAATCATGCCTGTAGTAGTACCATCTCAGGACATGAAAATCATGCCCGTAGTACCATCTCAGGACATGAAAATCATGCCTGTAGTACCATCTCAGGACATGAAAATCATGCCTGTAGTACCATCTCAGGACATGAAAATCATGCCTGTAGTACCATCTCAGGACATGAAAATCATGCCTGTAGTACCATCTCAGGACATGAAAATCATGCCTGTAGTACCATCTCAGGACATGAAAATCATGCCTGTAGTACCATCTCAGGACATGAAAATCATGCCTGTGTAGTACCATCTCAGGACATGAAAATCATGCCTGTAGTACCATCTCAGGACATGAAAATCATGCCTGTAGTACCATCTCAGGACATGAAAATCATGCCTGTAGTACCATCTCAGGACATGAAAATTATGCCAGTACCATCTCAGGAGTACCATCTCAGGACATGACATGAAAATCATGCCTGTAGTACCATACCATCTCAGGACATGAAAATCATGCCTGTAGTACCATCTCAGGACATGAAAATCATGCCTGTAGTACCATCTCAGGACATGAAAATCATGCCCGTAGTACCATGAGGACATGAAAATCATGCCTGTAGTACCATCTCAGGACATGAAAATCATGCCCGTAGTACCATCTCAGGACATGAAAATCATGCCTGTAGTACCATCTCAGGACATGAAAATCATGCCTGTAGTACCATCTCAGGACATGAAAATCATGCCTCAGGACATGAAAATCATGCCTGTAGTACCATCTCAGGACATGAAAATCATGCCTGTAGTACCATCTCAGGACATGAAAATCATGCCTGTAGTACCATCTCAGGACATGAAAATCATGCCTGTAGTACCATCTCAGGACATGAAAATCATGCCCGTAGTACCGTCTCAGAACATGAAAATCATGCCTGTAATACCATCTCAGGACATGAAAATCATGCCTGTAGTACCATCTCAGGACATGAAAATCATGCCTGCAGTACCATCTCAGGACATGAAAATCATGCCTGTAGTACCATCTCAGGACATGAAAATCATGCCTGTAGTACCGTCTCAGGACATGAAAATCATGCCTGTAGTACCATCTCAGGACATGAAAATCATGCCTGTAGTACCATCTCAGGACATGAAAATCATGCCTGTAGTACCATCTCAGGACATGAAAATCATGCCTGTAGTACCATCTCAGGACATGAAAATCATGCCTGTAGTACCATGAAAATCATCCTGTAGTACCATCTCAGGACATGAAAATCATGCCTGTAGTACCATCTCAGGACATGAAAATCATGCCTGTAGTACCATCTCAGGACATGAAAATCAGACATGAAAATCACCTGTAGTACCATCTCAGGACATGAAAATCATGCCTGTCAGTACTGTATCTCAGGACATGAAAATCATGCCTGTAGTACCATCTCAGGACATGAAAATCAAACCGTCTGAGGACATGAAAATCATGCCTGTAGTACCATCTCAGGACATGAAAATCATGCCTGTAGTACCGTTTCAGGACATGAAAATCATGCCTGTAATACCATCTCAGGACATGAAAATCATGCCTGTAGTACCATCTCAGGACATGAAAATCATGCCTGTAGTACCATCTCAGGACATCAAAATCATGCCTGTAGTACCGTTTCAGGACATGAAAATCATGCCTGTAGTACCATCTCAGGACATGAAAATCATGCCTGTAGTACCATCTCAGGACATGAAAATTATTCCTGTAGTACCATCTCAGGACATGAAAATCATGCCTGTACTACCATCTCAGGACATGAAAATCATGCCTGTAGTACCATCTCAGGACATGAAAATCATGCCCGTAGTACCGTCTGAGGTCATGAAAATCATGCCCGTAGTACCGTCTGAGGTCATGAAAATCATGCCTGTAGTACCATCTCAGGACATGAAAATCATGCCCGTAGTACCATCTCAGGACATGAAAATCATGCCTGTAGTACCATCTCAGGGCATGAAAATCATGCCCGTAGTACCATCTCAGGACATGAAAATCATGCCTGTAGTACCATTTCAGAACATGAAAATTATGCCTGTAGTACCTTCTCAGGACATGAAAATCATGCATGCAGTACCATCTCAGGACATGAAAATCATGCCTGTACTACCATCTCAGAACATGAAAATCATGCCTGTAATACCATCTCAGGACATGAAAATCATGCCCGTAGTACCATCTCAGGACATGAAAATCATGCCTGTAGTACCATCTCAGGACATGAAAATCATGCCTGTAGTACCATCTCAGGACATGAAAATCATGCCTGTAGTACCATCTCAGGACATGAAAATCATGCCTGTAGTACCATCTCAAGACATGAAAATTATTCCTGTAGTACCATCTCAGGACATGAAAATCATGCCTGTAGTACCATCTCAGGACATGAAAATCATGCCTGTAGTTCCATCTCAGGACGTGAAAATCATGCCTGTAGTACCATCTCAGGACATGAAAATCATGCCTGTAGTACCATCTCAGGACATGAAAATCATGCCCGTAGTACCATCTCAGGACATGAAAATCATGCCCGTAGTACCGTCTGAGGACATGAAAATCATGCCTGTAGTACCATCTCAGGACATGAAAATCATGCCTGTACTACCATCTCAGGACATGAAAATCATGCCCGTAGTACCGTCTGAGGTCATGAAAATCATGCCTGTAGTACCATCTCAGGACATGAAAATCATGCCCGTAGTACCGTCTGAGGACATGAAAATCATGCCTGTAGTACCATCTCAGGACATGAAAATCATGCCCGTAGTACCATCTCAGGACATGAAAATCATGCCTGTAGTACCATCTCAGGACATGAAAATCATGCCTGTAGTACCATCTCAGGACATGAAAATCATGCCTGTAGTACCATCTCAGGACATGAAAATCATGCCTGTAGTACCATCTCAGGACATGAAAATCATGCCTGTAGTACCATCTCAGGACATGAAAATCATGCCTGTAGTACCATCTTAGGACATGAAAATCATGCCCGTAGTACCGTGAGGACATGAAAATCATGCCTGTAGTACCATCTCAGGACATGAAAATCATGCCCGTAGTTCCGTCTGAGGACATGAAAATCATGCCTGTAGTACCATCTCAGGACATGAAAATCATGCCTGTAGTACCATCTCAGGACATGAAAACATGAAAATCATGACCTGAAAATCAGCCTGTAGTACCATCTCAGGACATGAAAATCATGCCTGTAGTACCATCTCAGGACATGAAAATCATGCCTGTAGTACCATCTCAGGACATGAAAATCATGCCTGTAGTACCATCTCAGGACATGAAAAATGCCTGTAGTATGCCTGTAGTACCATCTCAGGACATGAAAATCATGCCTGTAGTACCGTTTCAGAACATGAAAATCATGCCTGTAATACCATCTCAGGACATGAAAATCATGCCTGTAGTACCATCTCAGGACATGAAAATCATGCATGCAGTACCATCTCAGGACATGAAAATCATGTCTGTAGTACCATCTCAGGACAACAAAATCATGCCTGTAGTACCGTTTCAGGACATGAAAATCATGCCTGTAGTACCATCTCAAGACATGAAAATCATGCCTGTAGTACCATGCCTGTAGTATGAAAATCTCAGGAAATGAAAATCATGCCTGTAGTACCATCTCAGGACATGAAAATCATGCCCGTAGTACCATCTCACTACATGAAAATCATGCCATCTAGGTATGCCCTACCATCTGAGGACATGAAAATCATGCCTGTAGTACCATCTCAGGACATGAAAATCATGCCCGTAGTACCATCTCAGGACATGAAAATCATGCCTGTAGTACCATCTCAGGACATGAAAATCATGCCCGTAGTACCATCTCAGGACATGAAAATCATGCCCGTAGTACCATCTCAGGACATGAAAATCATGCCTGTACTACCATCTCAGGACATGAAAATCATGCCCGTAGTACCGTCTGAGGACATGAAAATCATGCCTGTAGTACCATCTCAGGACATGAAAATCATGCCTGTAATACCATCTGAGGGAATGAAAATCATGCCTGTAGTACCATCTCAGGACATGAAAATACGACAAATCCATACATCAGCCTGTCGGTCTTCTATTCTTTCAGGTCCGGGTTGTGGATAAGAAGAAACAAAACGTGAAACCTGTCAGCGGGCATCCAAATCGGAAGAGCAAGGTGTGGTAAAATGTGATCATTTTGTTGTGAAACTCAATCTTATTTCATGACTGAACGCTGTGGTCGCAAAACCCTTCACGTTACATTCATAATAGTACAAAGTGTTATTTTCCAGCGTACAGTACAGTAGGAAACATCAATATATTTAATTCCGAGCAGGAGAAAATTTGCTTTGTTCTCAAATTTGCGTCCCTCAGTATATACATATTCAGGGAAGAAATTAATGAAACATGTAGCAGCGAAATTGGGTCTGTGGTTTATTTTTTCAATTTAATTAAATATATTTATGCGTATCTGTAAACTTCTGAATAACTTTACATATGTATGCGCGCGTTATATGTTATAAAAATCAGGTTGGTGTAACATGAAATTCTGTTATGTATTTTGGCATACATGATATACTTTCAACAATTACAGAAACTGTGCGTGGAGGGTGTCATACCTCTGAACAAATTCGTTCAATATGACCCGGATGTCGACACTGACCTCGCAGTGGTTTCAGCATACTTCAACGTCGGGCGCTTCAAGAAAGGACTTACGAAAGACCTCTATTTTAACGTTAAAACTTACACGAATTGGGCGGGGGCTTTTTCCAACTTGTACAACCCTTTGGTTTTCTATACAGACTCGGATATATTTGAAAATATCATCAGAACATTACGGATTAAACTGCCAAGAAATCTGACACGAGTGATACGAGTAAACCAAACGTCCATGTGGTCATTTAAACTTCAGGACAGAATCTCAAAAATATACCACGATCCAAACTATCCAAAGTTTTACCCAAACACCGTGGTTCCAAAGTATTCGTGCGCAATGCACGCGAAATATGAAGTAGTGGAAGACGCCATTTTGAAGAAATACGTCACTTCCGATTACGTCACGTGGTTAGACGTGGGCTACTTCCGGTATTTAAAACGAAACAAACTATTTAAACTCGTCGTCCCCAAAAGCTTTTCCGACAATACTGTGGCTTTCAACAAACTTCATCACCCTGATCCCGTTTTAGAACCAGAGGTTATTTTCAAAAACAACAGTTTGTATGTTGGGGGAGGAATGTTCATAGGTACTCAGCAAACGATGTCGCTCTTTATCCTTGACTACCGGCATGCATCTGAAGTGCTACTGCATATGGGACTGAGCAACTCTGACCAGCAGGTGTTGTATGCAATGTACCATAGTACCTTCCAGTCACGTGTCAATCCTGGGGTTGATCTACAACTTTACAAGTCGAATATTGTTGGTGATTGTTGGTTTTACCTGGGATTTCAGTGCTACAGGGAGTTACATTGACAAGTTGAACACCTTTGGTTGACTTTAGGAACAATTCCAAATTCTACTGATGGATTTTATGGAGGATCAGAACAACCTTTAAATGTCCAGAGACTTGATCAGAAAATCCTTGGTGGAGGTTGATAACACCCCGTGCTATCTCTATTTGATAGTGACTCTTGTACTCGTATGCTCAAGATACATTCAGAATTGTATAATAAACTCTGGTTTGGGCAACTATTTCTAACGAATACGGGTTTTGTTTATTTTATTTCTTTAGGAATAATCACAATATTCTTGATAAACTTTGTGAACAATCAGACTATTCTTGACGGACTTAACGAATAATCTGTATATATTTGTTTGAGGACTTGTTGTACATAATTTCTTACTCTCGCTGTTTAAAGTACTGGTGTAAAGTAATAAATATGCCAGAACATCGTCTGCCCAAAAAAACCTACAATATGATTGTCCATCTTGATAATATTGGTAAAAATACTTGGGCAACCCGTATTCGTATTCTTTTGTTTAGATACGGCTTTGGATTTGTTTGGCTATCCCAAACCCAGGGCGACGTTAATGCATTTATCAAACTCTTTCGTACCAGGGCTATTGATATCTTTAAACAAGACTGGCATTCATCTTTATATGAAAGTTCAAGATATGATTGCTATCGTGAGTTTAAATCTTTACTTGAACCTGAGTCGTATCTATACAACTTACGTAGTAAAAAGCTTCGTAGTGTTTTCATGCGCCTGAGACTTGGCCTAAATGATTTATATATCAATCAAGGAAGATATTCATCTATTATAAAATCACAAAGGTTCTGTCCATTTTGTAATACTGTAGAGAATGAATTACACTTTCTATTTCTTTGTCCTGCATATAATGATTTAAGGCAACTGTATTTTCCGCAATGGCTACAATCAAATATTAATGCTACAAAACTGTATTCAATACTTTCATGTAAAGCATCCCTATTACAATATAAGGTAGCTCTATTTATTTATCACGCGCTTATATTGAGAAGAGATTCAATGTAACGTGTGTGTCGCATGTTTTATATGTTGTACATATCATACATATTTATTCTGTATATGGGCCTCTGGCCTTCATGCAATAAACTGATACATACATACATGCTTCACTGCGGCTTGGTATCTCAGTGGGCTAGCACTATAAAACCAGCTTCAGTCTGGGCTAGTACAAGCAGCCGCACCTACACATACACACGCATGCACGTCGTCATATGAGCGAAATATTCTCCAGCGCGACGTTAAACCCAATTTCACCTCACCTCACCTCATTACAGCATGTTCCGACCATGTAATGGGTTATTCTGGTGGATAAAGCGTGAGCTCGTCACACCGAAGATGCGGATTCGATTCCCCACATGTGCGAAGCCGATTTCGTGTGTCCCCCGCCATGATATTGCCTTTTATATTCACTCACTCCGACCATGCACTAGGATATATGAAATTTCATATATTTCAAATTTAGTGTTTGATTGTTATAATGTCGCCAGCATAATGCTGGTTTGTGTACATGGAACTAATACACGGCGTAAAGTCCCATCTTCGGAAACATTAATGCACATGACGAAATTGTCAGCTTGCTTGAAATGTCATGGAGGAAAAGTGGTTCGCAATATGCACGTGCAGTTCTGAGGAATCGTGACCAAGGGCATTGCCTATATAAGTCCGTTTTGCTGTTAGACGGCCATTGGCATTAGATATCTAAATGAATGAATATAGTGGGGAAATACTGGCCCCTTTCAAATAGGTTCTAAACACGTTTAGACTACATGCAGAACGGCCGTCAAGTCCCAGTGAGAATACAGCGCTAGCGGCATCATTGTATTGTTTGTTTGTTTGTTTGTTTGTTTGTTTGTTCGGTACGGTCCCGCAAATTCTGCAGGTGACTTCAGAGACGAGTCTGCTCTTGCCCTACTTCTTGAGAAGTGGATGTTATTAGTAGGGCTGTAACGATGCACCGAACTATCGATGGATCGCAATTGTTGAGTCTCCGGTAGCAATTAATCGATGGTAGAAACGAAAAACTATCGATTCATCGATAGTTTGTGTGACTATCGATAGTTTAGTAATTGACTTCCGTTGATAAATGCGCAGCGCAGAATACAGGTTGTTTGGGTGCAGACTTGCAGCTTCATTCAGTTTATGTGTTTACTTGATCTGGGTTTCAAGATTCATGTCCGTTATTACGAGAAACTGAAGCTACTTAAACTTGTTTTTATTTCATATAAACCATACATTCATTTCGAAAATGACTTCAAATGAGACAATTCAAGGGAATAAGAACTATAGCAATAATATTGCAATAGTTGGCGGTAACAGACTATCGCTATCGCAATAGTATATTGCAATTGACTATCGGTATCACAATAGTTGTTTCCCCCTCAGTAGTCACCTCTAGTCACATATTTTGATTTTCCACAATTGTTATTTGCGAACCGTTCGGGAACGTATATGAGACATGAGTCTTTCTGTAAGTTTAACCTATATTTAGTGGACACTGCTTGCCAGCGACCAAGACTGTGACACTGACTCAGATGATGATGATGATGATGATTTGGAGAGTGAACGTGCGCTTTCGACATAATGCGTATTTCGCACACTGGACTGACTCAGGTCGACACGCTGTTTACGTCCACAACTCGCATCTGTAGCACCAGGACACCACTGGACTGACTCAGGTCAACACGCTGTTTACGTCCACAACTCGCATCTGTAGCACCAGGACACCACTGGACTGACTCAGGTCAACACGCTGTTTACGTCCACAACTCGCACCTGTAGCACCAGGACACCACTGGACTGACTCAGGTCAACACGCTGTTTACGTCCACAACTCGCATCTGTAGCACCAGGACACCACTGGCTGACTCAGGTCGACACGCTGTTTACGTCCACAACTCGCACCTGTAGCACCAGGACACCACTAGACTGACTCAGGTCGACACGCTGTTTACGTCCACAACTCGCACCTGTAGCACCAGGACACCACTGGCTGACTCAGGTCAACACGCTGTTTACGTCCACAACTCGCATCTGTAGCACCAGGACACCACTAGACTGACTCAGGTCAACACGCTGTTTACGTCCACAACTCGCACCTGTAGCACCAGGACACCACTGGCTGACTCAGGTCGACACGCTGTTTACGTCCACAACTCGCACCTGTAGCACCAGGACACCACTGGCTGACTCAGGTCGACACGCTGTTTACGTCCACAACTCGCACCTGTAGCACCAGGAAACCACTGGACTGACTCAGGTCGACACGCTGTTTACGTCCACAACTCGCACCTGTAGCACCAGGACACCACTGGCTGACTCAGGTCGACACGCTGTTTACGTCCACAACTCGCACCTGTAGCACCAGGACACCACTGGCTGACTCAGGTCGACACGCTGTTTACGTCCACAACTCGCACCTGTAGCACCAGGACACCACTAGACTGACTCAGGTCAACACGCTGTTTACGTCCACAACTCGCACCTGTAGCACCAGGACACCACTGGCTGACTCCAGGTCGACACGCTGTTTACGTCCACAACTCGCACCTGTAGCACCAGGACACCACTGGCTGACTCAGGTCGACACGCTGTTTACGTCCACAACTCGCACCTGTAGCACCAGGACACCACTGGCTGACTCCAGGTCGACACGCTGTTTACGTCCACAACTCGCACCTGTAGCACCAGGACACCACTGGCTGACTCCAGGTCAACACGCTGTTTACGTCCACAACTCGCACCTGTAGCACCAGGACACCACTGGCTGACTCAGGTCGACACGCTGTTTACGTCCACAACTCGCACCTGTAGCACCAGGACACCACTGGCTGACTCAGGTCGACACGCTGTTTACGTCCACAACTCGCACCTGTAGCACCAGGACACCACTGGCTGACTCCAGGTCGACACGCTGTTTACGTCCACAACTCGCACCTGTAGCACCAGGACACCACTGGCTGACTCAGGTCGACACGCTGTTTACGTCCACAACTCGCACCTGTAGCACCAGGACACCACTGGCTGACTCAGGTCGACACGCTGTTTACGTCCACAATTCGCATCAGTATAGCACCAGGACACCACTGGCTGACTCAGGTCGACACGCTGTTTACGTCCACAACTCGCACCTGTAGCACCAGGACACCACTGGCTGACTCAGGTCGACACGCTGTTTACGTCCACAACTCGCATCAGTATAGCACCAGGACACCACTGGCTGACTCAGGTCGACACGCTGTTTACGTCCACAACTCGCACCTGTAGCACCAGGACACCACTGGCTGACTCAGGTCGACACGCTGTTTACGTCCACAACTCGCACCTGTAGCACCAGGACACCACTGGCTGACTCAGGTCGACACGCTGTTTACGTCCACAACTCGCACCTGTAGCACTAGGACATCACAGGCTGACTCAGGTCGACACGCTGTTTACGTCCACAACTCGCATCAGTATAGCACCAGGACACCACTGGCTGACTCAGGTCGACACGCTGTTTACGTCCACAACTCGCACCTGTAGCACCAGGACACCACTGGCTGACTCAGGTCGACACGCTGTTTACGTCCACAACTCGCACCTGTAGCACCAGGACACCACTGGCTGACTCAGGTCGACATGCTGTTTACGTCCACAACTCGCACCTGTAGCACCAGGACACCACTGGCTGACTCAGGTCGACACGCTGTTTACGTCCACAACTCGCACCTGTAGCACCAGGACACCACTGGCTGACTCGGGTCGACATGCTGTTTACGTCCACAACTCGCACCTGTAGCACCAGGACACCACTGGCTGACTCAGGTCGACACGCTGTTTACGTCCACAACTCGCACCTGTAGCACCAGGAAACCACTGGACTGACTCAGGTCGACACGCTGTTTACGTCCACAACTCGCACCTGTAGCACCAGGACACCACTGGCTGACTCAGGTCGACACGCTGTTTACGTCCACAACTCGCACCTGTAGCACCAGGACACCACTGGCTGACTCAGGTCGACACGCTGTTTACGTCCACAACTCGCACCTGTAGCACTAGGACACCACTGGCTGACTCAGGTCGACACGCTGTTTACGTCCACAACTCGCATCAGTAAAGCACCAGGACACCACTGGCTGACTCAGGTCGACACGCTGTTTACGTCCACAACTCGCACCTGTAGCACCAGGAAACCACTGGACTGACTCAGGTCGACACGCTGTTTACGTCCACAACTCGCCTCAGTAGCACCAGGACACCACTGGTTGACGTCAGATTGCTACACACTTTTACAGTTACGTTTAATTGAAAATTATAAATTGATCTCATCTCGATGACATATTTGCTTAACTTATCCACAATAAAGCAACCGCCCTTTTGGGGTGTCAATGAATCATCCGTTAATGGCAAATGGCGGACAGCGACACGAGTGTGTGAGTTTAGTTTTACGCCGCTTTTGGCAATACTCCAGCAATATCACGGCGGGTGACACCAGAACTGGGCTTCACACATTGTACCCATATGGGGATTCGAATGCTGGCAGAATGATCCACGATGTTGCTGGGGTTGATACATGAGTACTCAATAGTTATAAGTATACATTACAGTTACACGCACGCACGCACGCACACACACAGGGGTATTAAACACGTTAAGTAGCTGTTACTTAAGTTCAAGAGAAATTGGCGAAAAATAATAATAAGAGCTGAAAGAAACACTGAAATAATTATTGAAGAACATATTCACACATGCATGCTCTCCGCAGATTCACAACACTCATAACAAAGCACCAACAGAATTCAAACAAGGTTAAAATAATCATTGTACTTCATATATAAACTCACAATCTGGAAGAGCACAGATCTGTACTTGTCTCATACAATTGTAGTGGTCAGAATCCATGATTAAGCTTGCACGGATTTAATTAGATATATGTAATTAAATCCCACAAGTTTTCCAAATAATAATATACAGCCCATACAGAAAAATCATCACATCTGGATGTGGCATTACCGGATGTGACACCAGAAATGGGCTTCACACATTGTACCCATGCGGGGATTCGAACGCTGGCAGAATGATCAACGATGTTGCTGGGGTTGATACATGAGTACATGAGTACTCAATAGTTATAAGTATACATAACGCACGCACGCACGCACGCACGCACGCACGCACAGGGGTATTAAACACGTTAAGTAGCTGTTACTTAAGTTCAAGAGAAATTGGCGAAAAATAATAACAAGAGCTGAAAGAAACACTGTCTAGACACTGAGCACTTCACTGTTTTAATAAACGTTTACTGAGTAAACAATAAACAGGATTTCATCTTGTATTGTCACTATGTAATATGAGAGTTGAGATTTGTCTTCCAGCGTGGTCTATTGGATAGCATTATTTGGACTCGTTTAATATGTTAGTATACAGAATATTCTTCCCAATGCTTAAAATAGCATGATTATGGTATTGAGATGGACATGTATTTTGTCTCCCGAAAATATATACAAAAGGAGCCCCAGTCAAGTCTAGAATGACTGGGCAAGTCTAGGTCGCCTCAGCTGAAATTACAAATATGTATTGTTCTGGGCTCCTTTCAGAGTATATATATTGTTGTGTCTCGAGTAGAAAAACATCTTCAGATCAAATTTTGTCTGTACATAAATGTTAATCGACATGGTCTGCGGAGATTTACGCGACGCGTGCTAAAACCTGTAATAAAGTGAACACATTGTATATAGGAAGCAATATAAGTTATGAAAACATAAACAATATCGTTAATAATCAGCAGAGAGTCGGGGCGTGTCGAAGGTTGATGAGACCATACTTGTCACCACAGCTGTTGAATATATATTGGACATCCCTGCTGGTGATCTTAATAAAGGTGTTCTTTGGGACTCCATACGAGCAATAAGACAAATTGATGGATATTGCTGTTACTTGTTGCTGAAGAATACGCCCTAGTTCGCATCCAAGGCACATCAAAGGCGCATCAACTCCGGTAACAGAAAGCATATAAGGAGGAATGCCAAAATGACGTTTTGATATCAACAGTTTATAAATTATTTTGTTGTTGATGTTTTTAGTTTCTTTTGGGGGGGTTCAGAAGAGAAATTCTGTAAAACCTTAAGTGTCCTATGTGAAGGCCTTGTGTTATAACGTCGACCTAAACATTAAATAGGGGCGGCGGGGAAGCCTTTAGCTAGTGGTGAAAGCGTTCGCTCGTCACGCTGAGGATTCGGGTTCAATTCCCCACATGGGTACAATATGTGAAGCCCATTTCTGGTGTCCCCCGTCGTGATATTGCTCGAATATTTCTAAAAGCCGCGTAAAACTAAACTCACTAAACATTAAGTTTGCTTACAACAGATTGTCATAATACAGCAATATATCTTGAAGTGGCATATTGAGATGAAATGGGGTTTCAATTTTACACCTTACACCGGTGGCGTGTGTGAACATGCGTCTGATTAAAACAAAAAAAGACTGAAATTGAAATTTGGTAACAAGTTACATGGAATCTCAGAGGAATACACGTAAACGTGAATATCAACAATGCCGGAATGTATGGTTATCAGAATTACGCCACGAATCTTATTGTCACCCAGCTCTCAAATAATGATATTGCTGGAATATTGCTGAAAGCTCTACTTACTATTGCTTTACTCGCTCACTCCATTCGGCTTGACATCGACACAAAAATCGGTAGTACTTAAATGTCACCTTCCAGACGTTGCCTTATAAAGATAGGACTTTAATATAAACACTTCATTCAGAACAAAATAGGCAATATTTTGGGGTTCTAAAAAATATTCAATCAAAAAATCAATCTCAAAATCGAGGGAAATTGCGTCTTAGAGACTAGATATTCAAACAGATTTAACCCCCGGGCTAGTATCCTTTAAGAGTGAGTGAGTGAGTGAGTCAGCAATATTCCAGTAATATCAGACGGTGGGGGACACCAGAAATGGGCCTCACACATTGTACCCATGTGGGGAATCGAACCCGGGTCTTCAGCGTGAAGGGACAAGCAAACGCTTTCACCACTTGGCTACACCACCGCCCAGTTGAAGCTGCCCAGAGATATATAGTGTACTTTATACACATTTAGACCAAAGTATATACAGCAAGTGGTAGGTACCAAAAATTAGTTCGTTACTCCGTCAGTGTTCCTTAAGGCGTGTTCGTTATGAATGTTTTGTTTGTGGTTTAACGCCGCCCTCAACAATGTTCCCCTACACGACGGCGGTCTGTAAATAATCGTGTCTGGACCCCACAATCCAGTGATCATCATCAGCCTCTTACGGCAAGCATGGGTTGCTGAAAACCGTTACAATAAATGTGATGTCCACGCACGCATGCACGTACGCACGCACTGAAGCGTGAGAGTTATAAATGTAATTCAGTGCGCGTGCGCGTGCGTGCGTGTATTTTGTATAACTAATTAAAGTACTACAAACAGCAGCAAAAACTCAACCATCTCGCCATCTCATCTGACATAGCTGCATAGACTAATTGAATAATTATTGAAGAACATTATATTCACACATGCATGCTCTCCGCAGATTCACAACACTCATAACATAGCACCAACAGAATTCAAACAGGGTTAAAATAATCATTGTACTTCATATATAAACTCACAATCTGGAAAGCACAGATCTGTACTTGTCTCATACACTTGTAGTGGTCAGAATCCATGATTAGCTTGCACGGATTTAATTAGATATATGTAATTAAATCCCACAAGTTTTCCAAATAATAATATACAGCCCATACAGAAAAATCATCACATCTGGATGTGGCATTACCGGGACATCTATCTTCAGAGGACCTTTAAGGTTGGTAAATGGATTGTCTGTTCAATGATTGGTTGATGTGGGGTTTTTTAAATTTTAACGATTGAACTGTGGGAGAAAATCCCGGAGTCATTACAAAGACCATGAAAGTGTATTAAAATATATTTATAACCATGTTTAATATATACTTTCATTTGGTCTTTTGACTCGTCTGTCGAGACGAGATTAAAAGACCAGACTCGGTGATATTGCAAAACATTCCCACAACAATTCGAAAAGGTAAGTCCATAATTCGTTCGTTCATTGTTCATTCATCCATTTTATTGCGACCCTCGTTCAACGCGTTGTGACACTTGCAAGATGGTAGATATGAATGTATTCATTAGACATATTGTCACCTAATATGTTACTAACGGCATTTTACAACACATTTACCGTTTTACTCCAAATCTGCGATAATTACCTATGCCCTGCTAAAAATAGGTCGCTGACCGTGCGAAATGTATAAAAATAGATTGGTGTTTACGTTTTCTACTTTTTCGTAACAACTATTTGTGTTGTAATCACGTCCTTCTGGTAGTTTATTAAATCAAAATCATTTTACATATCAATTTACCTATATTTATTATGAAATGTTCATTTTCCTAGTATGGTGGCATATTATCTGTTTAAGAAAGCGTGTAATTCACAGTTGGTTAATCGATCGTCCATTTACTGTTATTAGTTGAAGGGAAATCTTATTTCCGGACCGTTCGCCCAAATGGCATGATAGAAAAGATAACTTGTTATTTGCAGGTCGCCACTGTAGCAACATAGTTGAATGGAACATAAGTAACAATGAGTGGAAATGTCGGCGATCTCAGTCAGAATCAAAAGGACATTTTGGAACAGGTAAAAATATTAAGTTGTGGTAGTCACAGTCACTGATGAATGGATGCCATCAGTCTCAAGTCACTGTCACTGTTATGAGTAGAATAAGGGGTGTCTACCATGCCGCCATATATGTTCTCTCTCAGATAAGACTAGCACTTATTTACTTAATGGTGACCTATCATATGACAGGTCATATAAGCCATGCGAATGATACAAATGCTACAGTCTAAACCGCGAGACAAGACTTGTCCGTGTTCCTTGAAATGCGGTGATTGTTTCTCGGGTGTCTTATGACAATCTCCTGCGTAAACTTATTCCAGCATATAACTAGACGACTTAGCACTATACCAAGAGGCCTTGCCTGGAATACGAGTTTATTTATATGAACTAGCGTGAACACGTTCGGCACCAGCAGAGGTTTTGTCTGTTCTTGACCGTGTGGAATTTCAACATGTTCAAGGGACCAGTCATTTTTTAATTAGTTTAGGGCAGTTGGATCGAGGTCCGTCCACTGCGTCAGAGTGGGGTATTCCAGAATACCATTCAGCATGGAAACACAAACACACCACAACACACACAATCACCCACACATGTACACCCACATAGCACCACCACCCACAGAACTGGTGGTGAAAAGAAATTATAAAGTTTTGTGACTATATCTACGATTGAGTTAAAATGTACACAGACTTTCATATTGACAAAACAGCATACTTTACATTCCATAATTTTGATAAAAAAGAAAATACAAATTGTCAAAATAAAATCTGATTTCGAGATTTCTCTTATCACAACCATAACAATTATTTTAAGGGCTTTAATGTGTGGAAAATAGGCATGTACAATCAATGTCACTCACTGTAAAATACTGAAGCTCCCAGTATATCGTAATACGGGTACCTGAATCACAATATATAGCAATACAATTTCTTGGCCAATACATAGCCCTAATGTACACACACACAGCTATACCCACCCAACAACACACATGTACACACAACACACAATTGTACACCCATACAGGACCACCACCACCACACACACACATCACCACACACACTGTATGTCCCCTAAGCCCACTGATAACTAAACTCACTCGCTCACATACTGTTGGAATAGCAAAATGTTTCGCTGTCTTTTAAAAAAACGAAAAAACAGTTTAGGGTCGGGAAGTTTGTGATGGGGTCAGTCGGGAAACCGTAAACACACACTTTTTTGGGGGGGGGGCCTTATGAGAAAACATGATCGATTGCTTGGTCATTTAGTAATTGCGACCAATCTTCGATTATTTCAATTAATCGGACCACCACTAGTTAGTTCATGGGTCCAGGACAAATGAAGCTGAACTATTCTTGCAGTCATGATAGTGTTCAGGAAATCCTGCTCTCAAGCTTACAGGTTTATGTGAAGTTTACTGATATATTGAACAATAAATTGAGATGACATAATTGTTGTGATCTTTTTATTGGATCATCAAAAGGTATGGACACCCTTATCAGTGTTCAGGAATAGCGTCAAACCCTCGACAAATCCGACACTTTTGCTCTCAGTCTGATGGAAGTCTATAACCCGCCGGCCCTGGTGTCCGACTGTATAGTCCATAATGACTTTCACTGAAGTTGTTATATGTGACATGTCACACTTGTTTGCTGTTTATAAATCCTACATTTGTTAATAATTTCAGTGTCAATTACAAGAAATGTTGAATCTAAAATGTGTGTCTATTTTGTCTTCTGTGGGTCCCGTGAAATTTCAGTGGGTCAGACAGACATCTGACACTTACAGGATCCAATGTCCTGTTATTTTGAAACATCATTCGTGAACACTGCCTTATTTTCACAAAGGCACAACTAAATTATCTGTCTGATGCCCTAAGGCACCCTTAAAAAAATGCAAATCTGTGTCTGCATTAAAACACTTTTCTTTCTCTACAGTTCAAGAACACAGTGAAGGACATATTAAAACCAGAGCATGATGATTATTATGTTCTCCGATGGCTGAGAGGTAAGTATAAGAGATGGAAAAATACTCCCAGAAATCTCATCTTTTATCAATGCTTAACTAAGAGTCATCATTCTGTAGTTTTGTCAGTTTTTCAACCAGTCCATGTTAGAGGTGTGATGATACGGAAATTTCACGATACGATACCTATCGCGATATCTTGGAACGATACGATTTGATTCAATGCATATCACGATATGCTATCTTTAATTATTTTCTTTAAAAAGGTATATTGTGATAGCAAGTAAAAGTGTAAATTTTTACATACCCATCAATTTCTAGAGAACATTAACAATTTTAAGGTCAACGATACATATCACGATACGAAAAGAAAGTATTGACGTATCCATCGTCAGATTTAGTATCACGATTATTGATACTATGATATATGGTCACAGCTCTAGTCCATGTATATTATGTGTCGTATGAGAACATTAAAGTTTATATCTATTATATATTTTTCAGCCAGGAGTTTTGATTTGAAAAAATCTGAAACAATGATCAGAAATGTGAGTATAACAGAAAATATGGTGAACAATATTCGTCTCAACTGTGGCCAGTTTCACAAAGTAGCATTCCTAAATTTAGAGGTATTTACGACATTGTATCCAGTAGAATAATGTCTCTTCCCTTTTGATTGACCTATTGTTGATGAAATGATGAAATATAAGTCACCTCTGAAAATGCATAATATTACTGGAACGGTGGGGTAGCCTAGTGGTTGAAGCGTTCGCTCATCACGCCGAAGACCCGAGTTTGATTCCCCACATGGGTACACTGTGTGAAGCCTATATTTTTAAACTTATCCTATCCCACAACTTGCACCTCTCTCTCTTGCTTCGACTTTTAGTGGAACAACTGTAAACTTTTTTCCATAGGCCTCCTTGTCCATTCGCCCGTGCACTCCAGGCTGCTCTCCTTAATTAGCTTCCTAGTTCCTAATAAAGCTTGCAGCATGCTCCACTAATTGCCCACGTGACTACCTTGAATGATTCTCTTTCTTGTCGCACGACTGTGTGGACGTGCTGTATACTAGGGACATTATTTCACCCTAACATCATGGGGAAAACTGATAATCAGTCAAGGAAAAGGAAAGTTTGTGCTCAATGCAAGACGATTTATTCATCCCTCGACCCTCACTTGTCTTGCAGTGACTGTATAGGACAATGTAACTGGAACAAACGATGTGGCAAGTGTAATTCACTAAAAGATGGGGATTTTAAGGCCTACCTTCGTGTTTGCTCCCGGAGAATCGCCAATAGGGACAGGAAATCAACGGAATCTGATCCCACTCCCGCCAAGCGTAACAAGTTACAGCGACAGAAAATCGTACCTTCACGCAAGAGAGCGACGTCTGTGGTTCAAGAGGATTTTATGGACGCTTCATCAGATTCTTACTTATCTGAGGACGTTCGGCACCTATTACGTACACATCAATCACCTCCTTCCATAGCGTCAGATCACTCGTGGGTGGTTGTAATCGATAATTCTTCGTTGCCTGTCCCATCTACACTACCAGGGGACCTTAGATCGACACTATCATCATCCAGATCATCGGTACATATCCCCTCGACTGTCTCATTTTTTTTGGAGCCTGGCCAACCGCGTTCAACCAGCCAACTGTCTCCCCACAGTTCATTGAACCGGACGGAGTTGGCTACAACAGCGTCGCCAGGGGACGTTCATCATGAATCAACACTTCAGGTTTCGATCCGATCCAGATTGCCACATTATTCCAGATCACCACAACGATCTAGATCACCTTCACGATCCAGATCACCATCACTAGCCCAATCTAGATCACCGTGCCGATCAAGATCACCGGATCGATCCAGATCACAGTCACGATCCAGAGCACAACTACGATCCACATCACCTGATCAATCCAGATGACCTAACCGATCCAGATCACCAAACCGGTCCAGATCACAACTTCGAATCAGATCACCGGACAGATCCAGATCACCTAGCCGATCCAGATCACCAACCGATCCAGATCACAACATCGAAGTAGATCATCGGACCGATCCAGATCACCGAATGGATCCAGATCACAACTTCGAATCAGATCACCGGACCGATCCAGGTCACCTAACTGATCCAGATCACAACATCGAAGTAGATCGCGAGACCGATCCAGATCACCAAATCAAGCCAGATTGCAACTGCAAACCAGATCACCTGTTCGATCCAGATCACCTTATAGATCCAGATCACGATCACAGTTTCCAGTTAATGCATCGAATCGCTCCAGATCACTTTACAAATCCAGATCATCTTACCAACCCAGTCACCTATACGATCTAGATCACCTTACAGAGCCATTGACCAATCGGGATCACAGTACAGATCCACATCTCATGGCCGATCCTATTCAGATGGTCGAACCAGAGCTCCAATCAGAACCAGATCACCAACTAGAACTACAGCGACCTGGACTACTTCTTCATATCATACCGGATCACCTAGCCATACTAGGGAATCCAGATCACCGCTTACCAACCTACTTCGGTACTAACCACGTCGAGATTTCGTTACAGTTCCTCTGACCGATGTTCGGGTGATCATTGCTCTGATACCACTAATAGGCCTACAGTCTCTTATGATGTTCCGTCTACAAGCTCTGAGAATCCTTTGGCTCACTCTAGGATCATCGCTGAGTCATGGGAACCTGATAACAATCCCACTCCTACAGCGACTCCAGATCTAAATATGATGGTCAGGGCCATAACCTCAGCCTGGAACCAAATACAGCCTTCTACTCCAGCCCATCCGGCTTCGGTAGCTCCTGGCTCTTCATCTGGTCCACCTCCTGAGATTGATCCAGTCCAAATAGCCATGCCTGCATCTCCCGCTCACTCTGAGTTATCTACCCCTGGGGGGTAGCTTTGCAGCAGTTGAGACACCTCAGGTATTCCTTTGGATTGTTGAGAAGCTTTCAGAATACAAGGTCGAGGTGGTAGGGTGATGGTAGACCAATCCCGGTTCCTAAGAGTATAAGAGTGATCCAGGTCATCTGCTGAAGTACTCAAGGGAAGTTGGATTATCCAGTACACTAAATGATGGTTTCAAGAGCCTGAAACGGATTAAGGACGGATTCTCTGCTCCCAGATATCATCCTTCTACCTCTCATGTCCACTACCTAACAAAAATCTCTACGGCTCCAACAGTTGATATTGGAACCCTGTGTGGCAAACTAGCTGCTTCGCCCTACCTTATTGAGGACTGAGAGTTGGCTCACATGGATTCAGCCGTGAGAAAGACGTTGCCATCTATTAGTTGCGTGATTGCAGCAGTCGACGCTGTTAACACTGCTCTGTAGCATACTTACTCTGATCAAGGCGCTTTCATCCGAGGATGCATGACTTGGACCAGTTCCAAATTATCCTGGATCAGTTGTCTCATTTTTTGGGCTACACTCTTGCTGTTTGCCGACGTGGACCCCTCAACATCTCTTCATGGGAGGAGCGATTTAAAACAGAACTGTTTCACCAGCCTTGGTTTACTGACTCCCTCATCAATGGTAGCATCCAAGAAGTATCTAATAAAGTTGATAAAGAAACCCACTTTCAAGGACTCATTAAAACAGCGTCGAACTGCACAGTTCACCCCTACCAATCCGGATTTATGCAATCTTTTTCGTGGCGCATCCACTCAAGGCCGTGGCAGAGGAAACAGATCCATACGTCACCAACCTGCTACTTCACGGCTATCAGCTACCCGTTATTGGCAGTCCACCACTGACGTCGCATCCGGCTCATCGCTCATATCCTGTAGACCAGCTTCAGACTCTGCAATCCACAATAGGTACGCTAATAGACAAACTCGCGATAGAGCTCCTAGGTCCATCGCCCGTCACTCCAGGATTCTACTCCCCCATCTTCTTGGTTCCAAAGAAAAATTCCAACAAACTCTGGCTCATCTTCAATATGAAGTTGTTCAATGCCCGATTCCTGCTTCTACCGCCTCACTTCAGGATGGTGTCGATCAACCTTTACCCACCATCTTGAAGAAGGGAGACTTCCTCATCAGCCTAGATCTTCAGGATGCTTATCTTCACGTTCTGATACATCCAGAACACCGGAAGTACCTTCGCTTCATGTTCAACGGGAATCACTACCAATGGAAAGTCCTACCATTTGGAATTTCCATGGCCCGGGGCTTTTTACCCGAATTACCAAGCCAATAACGAGCTTCCTCCACTTTCAAGGGATCACTTTCGAAAGCTACATAGACGATTGCATCCAGACTCAACAGGATCCGATCTTATTGCTTCGCCAGCTACAGTTCACCACCACGCTGCTCAGACATTGCGAAATCGGAACTAATACCGACTCAGAAACTCCAATTCATCGGAGCACTGTTCGACACTGGTCAGGGGATGATGTTCGTACCTCACAACAGGTGGATAAATATTCAGCAATGCATTTCTCCAGCACTGTCTCAGGCGAGAACCTTACAACAGTGGCAGGAGCTACTGGGCCTTCTGACGTCAGCTCAAGCCTTAACGTACAGAGGCCAGCTCCAACTTCGGCCGATACAGCGATTTCTACGCCAGTACCTTCAGACCGACAACCCTAAGGAACTAATTTGCCTTCCAGAACCGCTTCGTCCAGTCCTTCAATGGTGGCTCGACGGATGAAATGTTTGCGCCGGAGTCTCAATGATGCCCCTTGCACCGAATCATCACCTATTCGTCGATGCATCCCTCATGGGTTGGGGAGCTCACTTCCTCGACCACCAAGTGGCCGGGCTGTGGTCATCTGACAAACGGGTACTTCATATAAACGAGCTGGAATTCAAGGCGGTAATTCAAGCCATCTCACATTGGGCAACAGAGCTTCAATCAACCAGTCTGTTGATTAAATCAGGCAATTCGACAATGGTTTGGTATATAAATCATCTTGGCTCGACAGGCTCGGCGAATCTGCTACAATGGGCGATCAGGTTCTTCCATCTCATCGACTCACTCATACATCGTAGCCAGAGCCAGACACATTCCTTGGGTAAAAAATGTGATCGCTGATGCCTTGTCCCTATCCAACCAACCGTTCCCGACAGAGTGGAAGTTACTGCCCCAGATCTTTCAGTCGATGATCTACCCGTTATCACGGCCTCAAATAGATCTGTTCGCCCCAAGGTTCAACAACCAACTTCCAAAGTTCGTATCACCAATGCCTACGCGTTCTCCCCTCCAGCTCTGCTACCAAAAGAAATACAGAAACTATTGGCCACCAGCAACATACTACTGCTTTTGGACGCACCCTTGACCGCTATCATGGAAGGTTGCTTCTGGCATTCTGATACTCTTCTCTTCACATTACCTGCGAGACCTGTCTGTCACGGATGTCCAGGGACTACACCAGTTCGGACCTCTTGTACTGGCTCAGCAGCTTACATCGGTCCAACAACGCAGATGAGGGACGGTTCCGCATTCGCGTTATACTTCTTTGTATATACTGAACAAAAGTTCAACTGGATCTCAACCTTTCGTTCTCATTATATGGGTTTAAGAACTACTTCACTTGGCCTCCATACCAAGGCATCGGAATACGGACACCTGCGTGGCCCTACGGACCTGAGGCACAATCAGTATGACGATGCAGAGGTGTTCGACATTCACGCTTACTGACCTCTACTCCACGGAGCAATTACGTCAGTGAAGTGTGACACTCCCGAATTCCAGTGGATTTCGTTGCGTTCTCCCTCCAAAGTTGCCGGGCACATCCTTTGACTAAGCTTAGGCAAAGGAGTGAGGGTCAATTTGATGCTGCCCGGAACTGATCGTTAAACCTGTGAGATTGCATGCCTCGGTCGGTGTCTGGGGGGCTTTCTTGAAGCAGGGGCTGGCCCGATTCTAGTCGCAAGACTTTAATTACGGGGGTACCTTGTAAATCGTGGCGAGGCGAGGCTTACTTGCCAAGTTGCATCCCTTGTCTTGTACAAGGTTGCGGCCGAACACCACATCGCTCGGGAGCACCCATCTCCTTGGGAGTCGTTGTGCTTAGTAAGCCAAGGGGTTCCGGAAAACCCACTACAAGCATAGGAGTTGCGTGCATGCGTAACAGGCCTCCCTTGTACATCGCTATCTACGGTTGTCATCGGTCCACACAGCTCCAAGACCAGCTGTCCAACCGTCCAACCGTGGGATAAGTGCAAGTCGTGAGATAGGATAAGTTTAAAAATTGTGAAATTTTAATATAAATTGTATATTTATATACTTATCCTATCTCACGCGATGGATGCCCGCCCAGCCTCCCCACTACTCAGATTACAACATTGGCTCCAAGATGAGAATGATCATTCAAGGTAGTCACAGGGGCAATTACTGGAGCATGCTGCAAGCTTTATTAGAAACTAGGAAGCTAATTAAGGAGAGCAGCATGGAGATCACAGGCGAAAGGACAAGGAGGCCTATGGGAAAAGTTTACAGTCGTTCCACTAAAAGTTGAAGCAAGAGAGAGAGGTGCAAGTCGTGAGATAGGATAAGTATATAAATATGCAATTTATATTAAAATTACCAATTCTGGTGTCCCCTGCCATGATATTGCTGGAATGTTGCTAAAAGCAGCAAAGCTAAACTCACTCACTCACTCATAATGTTACTTAAAACTATATTCATGTGAACAGGGAAAATCGTAATTCCAGTGTTATGATAGTTACAGCCCTACAATCACTCTGTGATGCAGGCCTGGACTGGTGTTCTATAGCCCCTATAAACTGGGCTGCTTATTCATTTGTGTAAATGGAGTGAATGTGACAAATTTGAAAAAAATGTGAAAAAAAGAGAGTTATTTTCCAACATTTTAAGCTGACATTTTTTAGAAATGTTTAGAAACAAATACTTCACCCAACAGCCAACCCCATTAAAGGAACACAGTCTGCAATCGGATTACTTTTTTGTAAATTTATCAATTTTCCAATATCACCTGTGAATTATTGATGTGTTAAAAAAAAGAATTGCATCTCTCTATGGTGAAACTTTTCATGTCATGAATGTGAAATGTTTCTTGGTTGCCTTGGTTACAGGATTATGCATGGAGGAAGCAGATAGGGGCTGACACAATACGGGAAGACTTCAAGCTCCCGGAGGTTTTACAGAAGTACTACATCGGGGGCTTCTGTGGCTATGACAACGAGGGGTGTCCTGTGTGGTACGAGCCATTTGGCCACATTGATTTGAAAGGTAAGAAGTAGAAGAGTCCGACTGACCATGCTGTCCATCTTACAGCAGCACTTTGTAACCTCTTCTGATTCGAAGGAATCTTGCACATGGTCATATAGCTGGAATATTGAGAGTCTGGCATAAAACAAAGAAAGAATACTGAAAAGATTTTGTTTGTTTGTTGTTTAATGCCTCACTCAGCAATATTCCACCTATGTGGCGGCGATTTGTAAATAATCGAGTCTGGACCAGACAATCCAGTGATCAACAGCATGAGCATCGATCTACGCAACTGGGATACAATGACATGTGGCAACCAAGTCAGCGAGTCTGACCATCCGACTCCGCTAGTAGCCTCATACAACATGCATGGGCTGCTGAAGACCAATTTTAACCCAGATCTTCACAGTTTGAAATAATTTCTATCCACATTAGAGTGAAGTTTATTACAGGAAGTGTACCTCAGAAACCCATGATAGGGACTTCGGAATCCAGGTTCAATAATGTTTCTTCCTCTGAAGCCTGATGAGGCAGTCAGTCAGTTCGACTAAACAGTAACTATGGTAACTCTTTATTCAGTTTGGTTTTGTTAGTGTCAGTATATCGTGTGACTATGATTAACCATGACAAGGAAAGAAATAGTATTGACAGAGTTCCACAGTCTTTATCTGAGTGGTCCCATGTCATTGCAGGCAGGTGTTCTGTGGGGGCGTTGGGGTAGCCAAGTGCTTACAGCATTCGCTCGTCACGCCGAAGGCCCAGCTTCAATTCTCCACATGGGTACAATGTGTGAAGCCCATTTCTGGTGCCCCCACTGTGATATTGCTGGAACATTGCTAAAAGTGGTGTAAAACCATACTCACTCACTTAAGCAGGTGTTCTGCGGTCTGTCTTTCTGACATTCCATACCTTTGCATTCTGTGACAATCCATGTCGTTGCAGGTGTTCTGAGGTCTGTCTTTCCTGACATTCCATATCATTGCATTCTGTGACTCTCCATGTCGTTTTAGGTGTTCTGAGGTCTGTCTTTCTGACATTCCATATCATTGCATTCTGTGACTCTCCATGTCGTTTTAGGTGTTCTGAGGTCTGTCTTTCTGACATTCCATATCATTGCATTCTGTGACTCTCCATGTCGTTTTAGGTGTTCTGAGGTCTGTCTTTCTGACATTCCATATCATTGCATTCTGTGACTCTCCATGTCGTTTTAGGTGTTCTGAGGTCTGTCTTTCTGACATTCCATACCTTTGCATTCTGTGACACTCCATGTCGTTGCAGGTGTTCTGAGGTCTGTCTTTCTGACATTCCATATCATTGCATTCTGTGACTCTCCATGTCGTTTTAGGTGTTCTGAGGTCTGTCTTTCTGACATTCCATATCATTGCATTCTGTGACTCTCCATGTCGCTTTTAGGTGTTCTCATGGTCTGTCTTTCTGACATTCCATATCATTGCATTCTGTGACTCTCCATGTCGCTTTTTAGGTGTTCTGAGGTCTGTCTTTCTGACATTCCATATCATTGCATTCTGTGACTCTCCATGTCGTTTTAGGTGTTCTGAGGTCTGTCTTTCTGACATTCCATATCATTGCATTCTGTGACTCTCCATGTCGTTTTAGGTGTTCTGAGGTCTGTCTTTCTGACATTCCATATCATTGCATTCTGTGACTCTCCATGTCGTTTTAGGTGTTCTATGGTCTGTCTTTCTGACATTCCATATCATTGCATTCTGTGACTCTCCATGTCGTTGTAGGTGTTCTGAGGTCTGTCTTTCTGACATTCCATATCATTGCATTCTGTGACTCTCCATGTCGTTTTAGGTGTTCTGCGGTCTGTCTTTCTGACATTCCATATCATTGCATTCTGTGACTCTCCATGTCGTTTTAGGTGTTCTGAGGTCTGTCTTTCTGACATTCCATATCATTGCATTCTGTGACTCTCCATGTCGTTTTAGGTGTTCTGAGGTCTGTCTTTCTGACATTCCATATCATTGCATTCTGTGACTCTCCATGTCGTTGTAGGTGTTCTACGGTCTGTCTTTCTGACATTCCATATCATTGCATTCTGTGACTCTCCATGTCGTTGTAGGTGTTCTGAGGTCTGTCTTTCTGACATTCCATATCATTGCATTCTGTGACTCTCCATGTCGTTGTAGGTGTTCTGCGGTCGGTGAAGAAGATGGAGATCATGAAGATGAAGGTCCAGCAGATGGAGAAGATCTACCACTATTTCAGGACAGCTGAAGAAAAGGTTAGTTGTGCAAAAGCAAAGAAAACAAGAGCATGACAATATTATCTCAGACTGATCTTGGTCCAGCTACCTCTATTCATCCTGAATAGTTGTCCAGTTTTTTATCATTTTGGGATAAAATAAGTGTAAACTTATGAATCAACCAGAGTGTGTCATGGGACTTTGTTTACAGCTGAAGTACCATATATTTCCCTTAATTACAATTGAGCCTGAATATTTCTTTTTGAAAACACTTTGCAAGAATGTATGGGAAATTATCTTTTTCATCAACAGCCTGAAACATGGTATATGTTTTCGCAATTTGTTTTGAAGTCTCAGAACCCCTCACAATGTCAAATAGTCAGTCTCTAACACTTTGATATTTCAACTCATTTTCAATTGAATTTTCAATTGTGTTTTGTGAAAGGGTCACAAGGTTCCTGCTCAGATCATCATTGTGTTTGACCTGGACAAGTTTAGCATGAAGCACCTTTGGAAGCCAGGTGAGTTAATGTCCAGAATCTCCACAAGGAGACATGCAATGAGGTCTGTGAACCTAGTCTTCCCCAGAATCTCCACAAGGAGACATGCAATGAGGTCTGTGAACCTAGTCTTCCCCAGAATCTCCACAAGGAGACATGCATTGAGGTCTGTGAACCTAGTCTTCCCCAGAATCTCCACAAGGAGACATGCATTGAGGTCTGTGAACCTAGTCTTCCCCAGAATCTCCACAAGGAGACATGCAATGAGGTCTGTGAACCTAGTCTTCCCCAGAATCTCCACAAGGAGACATGCAATGAGGTCTGTGAACCTAGTCTTCCCCAGAATCTCCACAAGGAGACATGCAATGAGGTCTGTGAACCTAGTCTTCCCCAGAATCTCCACACGGAGACATACATTAGGATCTGTGAACCTAGTATTCCCCAGAATCTCCACACGGAGACATGCATTGAGGTCTGTGAACCTAGTCTTCCCCAGAATCTCCACACGGAGACATACATTAGGATGTGTGAACCTAGTCTTCCCCAGAATCTCCACAGGGAGGCAAACATTGATATCTGTAGAGCAATTCCTGTGGGAACCCCTAAAAGAAGGCAGATTTTGAGATCTGTGGAGCAATTCTTCCCAGGAATCCCCACACTGAAACAAGCATTGAGGTCTGTGGTACCTTCAAAAGGAGATCAACATCTGTTAACCTTGTCTAAACAGGAACCCCCACAAGGAGACAAGCATTCTGTGGATCTATGTGTCTCAGGAATCCCCACAAGTAGACAAATATTTAGGTCTGTGCACTTATATATCTCAGGAATCCCCACAAGTAGACAAATATTGAGGTCTGGGCACTTATATATCTCAGGAATTCCCACAAGGAGACAAATATTGAGGTCTGTGCACTTATATATCTCAGGAATTCCCACAAGGAGACAAATATTGAGGTCTGTGCACTTATATATCTCAGGAATTCCCACAAGTAGACAAATATTGAGGTCTGTGCACTTATATATCTCAGGAATCCCCACAAGTAGACAAATATTGAGGTCTGTGCACTTATATATCTCAGGAATTCCCACAAGGAGACAAATATTGAGGTCTGTGCACTTATATATCTCAAGGAATTGAGGTCCCACAAGGAGACAAATAAATATTGAGGTCTGTGCACTTATATATCTCAGGAATCCCACAAGGGAGACAAATATTGAGGTCTGTGCACTTATATATCTCTCAGGAATCCCCACAGGAATGAGGTCCACACAGGAATTCCCACAAGGAGACAAATATTGAGGTCTGTGCACTTATATATCTCAGGAATCCCCACAGGGAGACAAATATTGAGGTCTGTGCACTTATATATCTCAGGAATCCCCACAAGGAGACAAATATTGAGGTCTGTGCACTTATATATCTCAGGAATGCACTTATATATCCCACAAGGAGACAAATATTGAGGTCTGTGCACTTATATATCTCAGGAATCCCCACAAGGAGACAAATATTGAGGTCTGTGCACTTATATATCTCAGGAATTCCCACAGGGAGACAAATATTGAGGTCTGTGCACTTATATATCTCAGGATCCCCACAAGGAGACAAATATTGAGGTCTGTGCACTTATATATCTCAGGATCCCCACAGGGAGACAAATATTGAGGTCTGTGCACTTATATATCTCAGGAATTCCCACAGGGAGACAAATATTGAGGTCTGTGCACTTATATATCTCAGGATCCCCACAGGGAGACAAATATTGAGGTCTGTGCACTTATATATCTCAGGAATACCCACAAGGAGACAAATATTGAGGTCTGTGCACTTATATATCTCAGGATCCCCACAGGGAGACAAATATTGAGGTCTGTGCATTTATATATCTCAGGAATCCCCACAAGGAGACAAATATTGAGGTCTGTGCACTTATATATCTCAGGATCCCCACAGGGAGACAAATATTGAGGTCTGTGCACTTATATATCTCAGGAATCCCCACAGGGAGACAAATATTGAGGTCTGTGCACTTATATATCTCAGGAATCCCCACAAGGAGACAAATATTGAGGTCTGTGCACTTATATATCTCAGGAATCCCCACAGGGAGACAAATATTGAGGTCTGTGCACTTATATATCTCAGGATCCCCACAGGGAGACAAATATTGAGGTCTGTGCACTTATATATCTCAGGATCCCCACAGGGAGACAAATATTGAGGTCTGTGCACTTATATATCTCAGGAATCCCCACAGGAAGAGACACGTATTGAGGACATTGCAGCTAGTCTGTGCAGTCTGTTTGTTGTACGGTCAATATTTGACACATTGTACCCTAATATATCCTTAAGAGTTGGTAAGATTAGTGACGAAAAAGAAACAATTAAGTTACATAAGAAAATAATATGATATAAATGTTTTCTGACTGTTTGATCTTCTCTGTTTTCTGTCCCCAGGGGTGGATGTGATGTGCGACCTCATCACCATGTTCGAAGACCACTACCCAGAAACACTAAAATCATCCTACATTATAAATGGTACAGTCAACAGGTGTTTCATACTAACATGAGGAGAATTAAGATATGGAGGAGTGGCCTTATAGTTAAAGTGGTTCCTATTCTCGACAAATACCCTGGTTTGATTCCTCACATGGTACAATGTGTGAAGCCCATTTCTGGTGTCCCCCGCTGTGATATTGCTCGAATATTGCTAAAAGCGGTGCAAACCCATACCCACTCACTCACTCGAAACATGGCTCTTTTACTGATCATATCTCATGAATGTTCTTCAGCGAATTATTTTATATGTTAATTTTGATGAAGAATATTCCTGGGTTCATTATGTATTTATAGGTAACAAATGTTAGTAGTGTATTTATCTAAAGTTGTTAAATTAATATTTGACTCAAATGTTGCGACGCCTTAGTTGGAACTACTTTGTGTGGGTCACATTGAATCTACAGTCTTCATACAAACATTCTCAGCAAAATGCTTAACAAATGTTTTGCTTTTCGTGAGTTGCAGTGTCACTCTTGAAAATAGCAAAGTTGTAAGCTCATTAAATATGACAGGCATGTTGTGCAATAAGATAAAGTTCCTCTCTATATATTTGTAATATACTTCTTCTTTTTAACAGCTCCTCGTATATTCCCAATCGCCTACAATCTATTTCGACCATTTCTCAGTGAAGGAACCGTGATGAAAGTCCAGATTCTTGGCTGTGAGTTAAGACTATATATTCCTACATAAGTTTTTAGTTCAAATGCTTCCATGCTGTTGTGGATAAACTATGTGCTTGGGTGAGATGATGTGAAATAGGGTTTATCGTCATACTTATGAATATTTCGCTCATATGACGACGTACATGCATGTGTATGTGTGGCTGCTTGTACTAGCCCATACTTAAGCTGGTTTTATAGTGCTAGGTCATTCATTTTGTACATGACATGCAGGGGGTATCACTTACTTTCAACATAAATGTTAGGTGGGGGGTGTCATTCACATTGTACATGCTTATTATGAACAGTCCCTTATCTGAATCACTTCTTCAAAGATCTTACTCATCATTCATGTATTCATTTGTCCTGATGCAGTAATATACTGAACAAAAATAGTGAGGGATCATGAACTCTACTACAGAATATTTATCATGAATTTGCGTGTTCAGTCTTCACTCCCAAAATATTTGTCATCCCAAACCCTTTTTAGTCCAATATATTTATCATATATTGTCATATCTGTCCCTGGCAGCCAACTACAAGGAGGTGCTAGCACGCAACATCCCACCCCAGGAGCTGCCCATCTACTATGGGGGATCCAAGAATGATCCAGATCCAAGATGTACCAACCAGGTGCGTGTTAAAGGAAACCCAGATGTAATACTATCCAGGTGTGTTTTGAAGCCTAGATGTACAATCCAGGTGTGTTTGAACGAAAACCAAGATGTACGTTTCAGGTAAGTTTTGAAGGAAAGCCTAGATGTAAGATCCAGGTGTGTTTTGAAGGAAAGCCCAGATGTAATACTATCCAGGTGAGTTTTGACAGAAAGCCCAGGTGTACGTTTCAGATGAGTTTTGGAGGAAAGCCCAGATGTACAAACCAGGTGTGTTTTGAAGGAAAGCCCAGATGTAAGATCCAGGTGAGTTTTGGGGGAAAGTCCAGATGTACAAACCAGGTGTGTTTTGGGGGAAAGCCTAGATGAAAGATCCAGGTGAGTTTTGGGGGAAAGTCCAGATGTACAAACCAGGTGTGTTTTGGGGGAAAGCCAAGATAAAAGATCCAGGTGAGTTGTGAGGGAAAGTCCAGATGTACAATCCACCTAAGGTAAGTAAAAGTCAGATGCCAGTAGTGTGTCCCTTAGCTGTACAAATTTGTATAACTTCGATGTACAGAGTTTGTCCCTAAACTATGAAGGTCTTTGTCCCTTGTCCAAGCTTTCATAGATTTGAATCAAAGGTGTGACCTGATTATTTTGCCAGGCATGACCTCCCACTTTGTCAACAAATCCATGTGAACATGGGTTGCTGAGAGTCAGTTCTAGCCCAGAACCCCTCAGTTACTATGATGATCTCCTGGATCCCGATCCACAAAGTATCCGTAGCTTTATGACCTATCGTTACTCTATACTTTATCATGGGTTTACGAATGGCATAGTGCTACGAACGTTTTGTGGATTGGGTCCCTGGTCCAGGGTTTTCAGCTCTGATTGTGGTCCTTGATCAGTGAGCACCACACTGGATTTTCCCCATTGCTGACAAGACATGACATAAATATAATACTGTTAAACTCATTCACCAGATCTGCTTTGGTGGGGAAGTCCCTGAGTCCTACTATGTCCAGCAGATCACTGACCTGTCTGGCTTCACAGAGTCCACCATCGGCCGGGGCTCGTCTCTACAGGTGGATTACGAAATTAAAGTAAAGAACAGTGCCATCAGGTAGGTTCCACACATGCCATTTTGGAGTATTTCAATTTTGTAGATTGATGCTCATGCTGTTGATAACTGGATTGTCTGGTCAAGACTCAACTATTTACAGACCACCGCCATATAGTTGGAATATTGCTTTGCAATGTTAAACAACAAACAAACGTGCCATTTTGGACCCTTTCCCATTATGCTCTTGAAAGAATCGTACAAACCAAATAAATATTATTCCCTAGATGGCAGTTTAAAACTGATGGGTTTGACATCGGATTTGGAGTTTATCGTCGTACAAAGGACGGTCGCCAGAAAGCAGGTGATATGGAGGCTGTGATGGCGACGACAAGGGTCAACAGTCACCTGGTGCCTGAAGATGGCAGTCTCACTTGCAGGGAGACAGGCACTTGTGAGTTACCTCCCCTTATCTAGGCTATAATGTACACTGACTACAGCAAGCAATTCTATGATGATTTAATACATAGATATTTGCATCTTTTTTAAGCACCTTTTTTCAGAACAGTGTAATACATACATTGTAATTCCTTTGGTACTTTGTTATAATCTACTGCAAATTATAGTCTGTCAAAGAATTTGTGATGGAATTTATTGCAGTTTAATGCTACATTCACCATTAACAAACAAATTTTCAACACAACTGTCAGTTGATGTTTCCCACAAATATATCTGTTGCTTACTTTACCAGCTGTATATTGTGTGTTTTAACATATACTGCTTTCCAAACAACTGACAGTTTGGCTGTGGTTTTTGTAGATGTGGTTCGATTTGACAACACATACAGCTGGACTCGGGGGAAGAAGATCTTCTACCAGATCGAAGTCCTGGAGCCTGACGTGACAGACCTCCAGATGCCAAGATCTCCATCCCAAGACAGCAACAACACATTCTTTGACACAGTCAGCAGCTAACCTCAACTCTATCAGTGATTTAGGAAATAATTATATCTCCACAAACTACTGATGACATATGACTTATATACAATGTTAGCTCAGACATCTAAGACGCCACAATTTGCTGTGCTCAGTTGCATCCCAGGGATGACAGACACATATCACTATGGGTTTGAATCCCAGGGTGTCCCAGATATGATACCTCCCGGTTTATTGTTATGCCAAGGAATTCCGTCAGTCTGTCCATCTGAAGATAATTTTGTTCAGCTAATAACTTGAAACTGCTGTTTGGATTATTTGCAAACTTGATCACACTCTTTGTCTGAAGGAAAGGTGTAGTGCAAATTTTTATAATGATGTTTTTATTTGTTAAAGAATTACAGCAATTTACAAATTTGAATTTAGACACCAATAACTTGAAAACTGTTGAACCCTGTCATTCTATCCTCTGGATTTGTGATGTTGAACATGAATATACATCTAGTGTTGATGATGACCGGTTTCACACAAATAACAAATTCTGAAATGACAAGAAAATAATGTTATGAATGGATGACCCCATTCACACCTAACCACAACTGAAACTTTGAATTTTCAACAGTTTTGTGTTTATCCTGATCTAGTTTGTGCTCTCTAAGGATTATCAGGGGGGGTTTAAGCACATGATGTAAGTTTTGTTTCAAGAAATTTAAATGTATTTTCATTAAGGTACTTACAATTGGGCGTGTTTGTATGTATTCTTGTAACCGGGATATTGGTGTGGGGGGATTTTTTACGCTATGTTGTTACATATGCTGATATTTTATGTCTTAGTACCCAAGGATAATGAGCAGTTTAGTTTGATATTTTTAACAGTATTGTAGCAATCACATATGATCCATGAGCTTATTGGATTTGGAAACGATGTATTCAATATTTGCACAGACCAAGCTGACTAATACTGGTGTGAAAGTGTCTGTGTTTGATGGGATCAAGGACGATGTCAGGATCAGGGGAATAAACATATCTCAAGGAGTACAACATTCAGGGACATATCAGGGCATGTTTATTGTATTAGATGGTCATGACTGGCATGACATGGGACAACTGTCATGTCTTGTTGCCATGCCAACACAGGGCTAATTATTCAGGTTATTCTTAAGTGTGGATGATACGGTCAGCAATTGTGGTAAGAGGATGGTCAGTTTCTTGATAAAATATTTGTCATTGTTTTAAGGATTATTTAGTGTGGCCAACATTTTAATAAGGATGTGATTACATTCATATTTTGACTTCACAGAGACAGGATTATCTTAGGAATGTGGATGCCTTTGTATTTGCCCCAGAAACTAATGACATTTTACTGTGTTTGGGACACATTGACATTTCACCCTCATTGTGACATTTCACCTTGTGTCTCGCTGGCCTGTCGAGGTCAGGTAGAAGATGACACTAGTTTCTTGCCTTTGTGTTAGTTATATATCTAGTTCCATTGTTCTGATGTTGAGAACATCTGCCAGGTGTCTGGGGAGCAAAGAGATTACATTGTCTAGAACTGCTGAGGCTAGATGAGTTTTGCTGCTGCTGGCAACCTTATTGAGTGAGTGAACGAGTGAGCCGGTGGGTGAGTGAGTGAACGAGTGAGCCGGTGGTTGGGTGAGTGAGTGAACGAGTGAGGTGGTGGGTGGGTGAGTGAGTGGATGGATAGGATGGGTGGATGGGTAAGTGATTGTGTGAACGAGTGAGACGGTGGGTGAGTGAGTGGATGGATAGGATGGGTAAGTGACTGTGTGAGCGAGTAGGCGAGCAAGTCAGTGTGTCAGTTAGTGAGTGTGTTAGTTCTCTTACTCGCTGCCTTTTCCAATATTCCCGCAACACTGCAGCGGAGACACCTGAAATTGGTATTACAAATAGCGCCTGTTTCAGAGATTTAAACCCAGGCCTTTAGCAGGACTACAGATCACTTCAACCACTGGGCACCAACTGCCCCTTATTCATTGAGGTTGTTTAGGCAAAGGGTAATTGAAATGTAGGGATGATAATATTTCACCATACTGCTGTTAGTAACAAGTATGATATTATGTAATTGTGAGGTGAAGTATTTGCTCTCCTGTTATGTGAGGGTAATTGTTGTTGCAGGTATTTCTGTTTGTAATTGTCTTTGTGCATATTTAGTGTGACACTGTCAGTAGTCAGGTCAAGTCTAATCAACTTGCATTTATGGTTGATGGATGTAAATAAGTCTTTTCTTGTCATCTGACATTTGAAAGCTGAATGGCTGTGAAAATAATATTTAGTTTGGTTTAGTTTTGTTTTAGTGTTTAGAAAAATACTGCTGGTAGAAATAGTATTTTTCTGTGAAATAGGTATTTTGTTAGAAATTTGAAAATTATAGATGTTTAAACTTTGTACAAAAAATTATTTATGTGAAAAATTGAGCTAAATGCACAAGGAGATAACAAGTATTTGTAAGGGGAGACAACCAAGGGGAAGTAACCTGGAACTTGATGCAAGGGGGGATAACCACATACCTCCTGCAAAGGGACATAACCAAGTACTTGCTGAAAAGGGAGATATTCAGAATGGTAAATTGCAACAATGGTGTTCTTGGGTATTGAGTCGCACTGAGCATTTCCTTGTGCAAATATAGTTATTTACATTTTCTGTTGTTATGGATATGATCAATGTTATGTTTTACCGACAGCTTTTATGTTTTGTACAAATTGCCAGTGTTTCTATGGTAGAGGCTATTTACTTCTTCACTTCAATATTTAGCTTGTTTATGTGATATAAAAAATACACCACATTATCTGGCATCATGTTTCCATGGTTACATCACTGAATAATGGTATGGACAGAATATTTTAATTTTTTGTGTTGAGTTGTCAAGGTGAAATTGACAAGACAAAATATGCCCAGATTTAGAAAAGCTTTTTATGTTTTATGTTGAAAAACTTTTAGATTGGTTGATAAAAACATGTACTTTTTACCAATATTAAGTAGAAAGCAACAGTGTTTTTAACTTTAACAAAACTATTGCAAGCTATCAATTCTTTAGTAGTCACCCTACATACACAGCATTCCAGGAACACCAGCCAACAGCTACTATATATATTGTTTAGTTGCCATGGCAACAGGTGCATCAGGAAATCATGATTATGTAAACTTTCATGAAATATATTTTTCATTTTCACATGATTTGAATGTGATGATTTTAGAAATGTTGTTATGCCACACTGTTTCCATGGTTACCTGTGGGCGTATCTCGTATTCCCTGATTCAGTGTACAGTTTTTTATAATAATGCTGACAGTGTGGACCAGGGTGTTTTACATGTTTTGTCGGAAGACATGCGGAGATCTCTGATGTCATTTAAGACCCTTACAGACATTTTATTAGTGTTATTCCAGCTGAAGGCTGACTGTGACACATGCCATATTACATGATATTGTTGTGGTTCTGACATCAATTCTTCAATAATTTTTTTATAATGTTAGATGTTGTTTGGGATAAACTGCACTCAATCTATATATTTTGAAATAGGAAAAAAATGTAAAATATCATGTAATTTGGTCAGTATTGTTTGTATATGTCTAAGAAATCTTTATTCTAACACTGACAGGGCCATCACTAAGCTTTGTGATCTTGCCATGTTAAAATCTGTTTTCCATTAATTAGTAGAAGTACCCATACCAACCTGACAAGTCTTGAAGTTAAATTCTATCATATTTTTTTATATAGTGACTAATGAAAAACGGAAGACCTTGAGACAGTCATAAAATAATGTGGTCATGGAATCATTACCATGTTGATATTTAGGATTATCAGGTAAACAAACCCCCTGTATCTCCTTATAAACCGACGTGTAGCTGTGATGTTTAGTATAAGCTTTAATATTTGAATGAAGGGTCACAGGAATGAAATTTGTGTCATTAACTAATCAGTTTATTTTACAGCTTAAGATGACCTGATGGTTAATATTCTTACTTGATTACCAAATGGTGAAACATAACCAGTGTCATATATTTCATATGTGCTCATGTGAAGATATCACTTTTACCTTGGTTTCTGTATTACATCGTCTGTGACGTTATTAACCACTTGAACATGACATCTATGAAGAGTGTTATTACACTTGCTTACCATGTTTTACTGCACAAATGTACATGAATAAAATGGATAATGAAGAAATTATTGCACACTCGCTCTCACTCGGGCAATACAAAAATTCACACTTGTTTCATGTAAGTCGTATGGCACACTTGTGTGGGTTATGTCTCCCATTTGATATTAAGGTACAGTCTTCCCTCACAATAACGCTCTTCGCGATACCATGGATTCGGTTAAACCACGGGGTAATCCATAGTTCCCATTAAAGAAAGTTGCCCAGCGATCACACATCTTCACGTCATCGAAAATAGCACTTCCACAAATCTGATGTTGAGCTCTGGCTAATCACGTTATAAACTAGTGAAATTTAGTGTGGATTGCAATTAACAGTGTTTATCGTAGATATCCATGGTTTTTCAGATGCTTAAAACATGCAGGGTTTTCTCAATAATAATCAGACGAACGGTGAAACATCGTAATAACTGATATAAAAGTCTATTAGTTTTGACTGGGCACAATACACGAAATAGCAGTTTTGTTATGTCCATGGAAAATACGATTTTACTTGGCCTTTGTTCCGCGTTATGTAATAGTTACTGTAACACGGGGGGCCATCCATGGACCCCAAGACCCACGTTATGGCAAGGGATGACTGTATTTTAACTCGGCAAAATGAAAGATCAACAGAGTGGATGCCAAGACAATTCTCTTTGGGAGAAATGTTTTGTCCTCACACATAAGACTGAGGTACGTTTGCCAACTGTTGTTAATATTAATGTTTTGAAAACAGTCCTCATTGAATATTGCCAGTAGTGTTGGCATCAGTAGTAGTTAGGCTTATGGACAAACATGGGTCACAGGATGGACTGTTAACACCTGTTTTGGAGGTGTTTTTCTTGTGCAAGAGTTGATCACGATTCACTGAGTTTTAAAATCACTCAGATTCCCTGGTTAAACAACATACTCTAAGGGCCAGTTGGTAGAAGCTCAACTGCCTTGCTACAGGCTATTGATGTTTTCCTTGATATCTTTGTTATGAGAGGCTTCTGTCTCATCTTTGTGCCAACTTCAAGCAAGGGCAAGTAACTCTAATGACACTACATTGATGTTGCTCTTGCATTCATTCCTTACTCTTCACATGTGTAACTTTCCTCAAAACACAAAATGTTTAACATGCTTTATTTCCAGTCTTATCACAAGAGATATTTAATAGACTGTTCATTTATCATGGGGTATAAGACTGGGGTTTTTCTTGTGGACATGCACAAACCCCACCTATGTAATATTTGTTTAACCACTGAACACCCATCTTAGTATATGTAATGTTCTTATAAATAATGTAAATATTGTATAACTTTAACTTTTGAATTTGAAAATAGAACCATGTCATTTTCATCAAGGTCTGTGAGTTCGACTGGCAAACAAGTCACTAGCCCTTCCTTTCTAACCACTGATAAATACTGGTTTTAAGTTTTGGATGTTTTTGTGCCACTAATCACTATAGTAAGTCAAAATAGGAATCCTAACAGGAATCCCAATGTTGGTTTTGGTATTTATTAGTAGTTTGTAGTCCATGTATGGTACCAAAGTTCCAAAGTGCTATATTATATACCAGACAGCTGATATCATGGTGGATGTAATCCATATGGGATAACTATTTATTTATCAATACAATTAGTCAACAAGTAATTTCATTCTAGATTCCCGTCATTCCTTGTTTCATATATCTTTCTTAATCATTGCAAAGGTCACTGTATTATTTAAAATTAGTTGTCAGTGGAAATATACACATAGCAATTAATTAAGCACCACTTGATTATTTACTCCCTGTAAATAATTCTGTCTGCGGTATGCAATTCAGTGATTAACATCATGAGCATCAAGGTCAAATCTCTTCATTCAGAAATATCTTTATGTATGTTATCCTAACAACATGTTTGGCATACAAAATGTGTATGTGTTTTAAAATGATGTGCAATGTTTAATCTGTGATGAGTGAATAAATGAAAATGTGTGATATGTCCCGTTTGTATTTTGTATGTGAAGGTTTACAACACTCTCAACAACTCCCTCAGTAGTTATGGTAGATTAGCTGAACAGAATCTACTTGCTGTGCCACGGACTAGGACAAAGATGTTTGGAGATAGATCTTTTGGAAAAGCAGGTCCAGTTCTCTGGATTGGAACAGATTACCTCATCACCTGAGATCAGAACAACAGCTTTCCACTTTGAAGGCCCAGCTAAACACTCTCCTATACAGAGAAGCATTCAATCTGTAACTGTTGCTTTAGGTGTTTTTCCTGGAACTGATGTGCTTTTGAGCAGCTTCTGCTGGATTCTAGCGCTCTTAAAATCAATCTATCTATCTATCTATCTATCTATCTTCTCTGTCTGTCCATCTGTGTGTGTGTGTGTGTGTGTGTGTGTTAATAGTGAGTGAGCAATATCACTTCAGAGACACCAGAAATGGGCTTCACACATTGTACCCATGTAGGGAATCGAACCTGGGTCTTCGGGGTGACGAGTTGACGCACTGAGCTATCCCACCGCCCCTTGTGTGTGTTATATGTATGTATATTCTGTGTGTGCGTGCGTGTGTGTGTTATATCATAAATGGTTCACTGGTCACGAGGGGGGCATGGGTTCATGTACCCTCGATGTTTGTTTATGTTCCCTGAGCCCGAAGGGTACATCAACCCATGGGCCCCGAGGGACCAGTGAACAACGTATTTATCTTACCGAACACCTTAATGTTAATTTTGAAAGCAATTTTTAATGTTTGAAGCACGGGTAGAAATCTTTTCGTAGCCATCGCTAGATTTTGATGACAAGAAAGACATATGTAGAGTTATCTCCCTTCCATCGATTTGCATTCGCAAAACATCGGTAATTTCCGTAGATCATGCATAATATTATACGTGATTCAATGTAATTCAGACCCGTGAAGATCCGGGGTAGAATAGGTCTTCAGCAACCCATGTGCTTACCATAAAAAAGGCGACTATCTTGTCGTAAGAGGCGACTAACGGGATCGGGTGGTCAGTTTCGCTGACTTGGTTGACACATGTCATCGGTTCCCAATTGCGCAGATCGATGCTCATGCTGTTGATCACTGGATTGTCTGGTCCAGACTCGATTATTTACAGACCGCCGCCATATAGCTGGAATATCGCTGAGTGCGGCGTAAAACTAAACTCACTCACTCACTCACTCACTCAATGTAATTCGAGATACAGAATTACTACCACGAAGTATCAAATGAGTTGCCATTGACATTTTGTACATTGAAATGTTACTCGCTTGTAAGCGGGGAACATTGAACATAATAAAAGAGCGCTCAGCCAATCAGAAAGCGACATTTATGTGTGCGGTAAGATAAGTATGTATATATTACGTGTGTGTGTATGTGTATGTATTATATGTATATATGTATGTATGTATATTTATTACCCTTAAGATAAATTTGTCGAATTCTGATTAGTAGTCAACAGCCAGAGAATACGAAACCATGTAGGCTGATTTGCCAGGGTGCAGGAACCGTACACACGTCAAATCTGTGATGTGACACTCTACCCGGGGGTTGTGCGAATGGCCTTGACCTTAGATGGAATGTGGCTGCCAAACGGCTGATCGCTTCGAAATTTTAGAGTTGGCGTATACAATTATGAGTACATACAGAGTAAAAATTGTTGCCATAATTTTCTATTTGTTTGTGTCAATAAATATATCCAAAACATAAAATGTTTCTGTATTTCACTTGTCGTTTAACAAAACCTCAAATTCGACGTTTTTTCACCATAAACTAAGCCATCCCGAGTTATCTACCTTTATGACCGTTCAGGAAAAATCATGGCGAAACATTTTGCGTCTCATTCTGCCGATGACTGAATGTTGTTGTTTAAAGATAAACTAACTAAAAAGATTTATGGGTAATAAATACGTCACACGGTCTTTTGAAAGGGTGTACTGGACTGTAAGACCCTTGTAAATTCCGGATATTTTGGCTGCGCCTCAGGAAATACGGCATTTACACTACAAGGGTCTTACAGTCCCGTACACCCTTTCAAAACACCGTGTAACTAATAACATATTATGAGTGAGTGAGTATGGATTTACGCCGCTTTTAGCAATATTCCAGCAATATCACAGGACAGCAGAAATGGGCTTCGCCCATTGTACCCATCTGGGGAATCCAACCCGAACCTTCGGCATTAGGAGCTAACACTTAAACCACCATCCTCGATAATCTCCAGGGTATACGATACAATAAATCTCCACTATATACCCTCGATGTATCTGTGGCCCGATAATTTTATTACCTCCCTTTGCTGGCTCCGCTTTTTATTTAAGCTGTCGTTACAACCGAGCTTGCCAGTGTCAACAAAGATAGCGGTCGCAGCCGCGAAGGTTTGTTCGCAGTGCGACTCAGATTTTGGGGGAATTCATACAGACAAACTGACAGATCTGAAACCTTAAAAAATATATGCAAAAACTCTTTCCACTTCTTTCAGAGTACCTCTGCAACAACTATGTTGCCAAGTTTTAATCGGTTAGATAAAAGAAGCGAAAGTGAGTTGTGATTGGTACGCTCAACTTCCCAGCGTAGACACCTGATTGGATAAAAAGCCATCCAAGGCACCTGTGGCTCGGCCCGATCATTTTATTACCTCCCTTTGCTGGCTATGCATTCTCACAGTAGCCAATCAGCTTGCCAGTGTCAGATTTGGGGGAAAATTATACAGACAAACTGACAGGTCTGAACCTTAAAAAATATATGCAAGAACTCTTTCTACTTCTTTCAGAGTACCTCTGCAACAACTATGAGGTAATAAAATCATAGGGCCGACTGAGTTTGGTTTTACGCCGCTTTTAGCAATATTCCAGCAACATCACGGCGGGGGAACACCAGAAATGGGCTTCACACATTGTACCCAGGTGACATTAAGAGGAAAAACGTTTCATATTCTAGAGAGCCTTGGCGGTGGGGTAGCCCCGTGATTAAAACGTTCGCTGGTTTCGCCGAGGACACAGGTTCGATTCCCTTACAGTGGGTACAATGTGTGAAGTGCATTTCTGGCGACGTGATATTGCTTGGATATTGCTGAAAGCAGCGTAAACCCATATTCACTCACTCACTCAAGAATTCCTGGATATTTCTTTGGAACAGAATGAGTAATGCTTTCAGCCATCTGCACTAGATACTCTTGTCGTATGGCAGGGGGCAGGAGTGGGAACATTGATTTTGTTCGAACCCGGGTCTTCGGCGTGACGAGCCAACGCTTTGACCGCTAGGCTGCCCCACCGCCCCTGTGCCATGAATGAATATTTGATTAACGCCACTCAATATTCGAGCATTTGGACCTCTGACAGGGCGGGTGGCCAAATGGTTAAAGCGTGCGCTCGTCATGCCGAAGACCCGGGTTCGATTCCCCACATGGGTACAATGTGTGAAGCCCATTACTGGTGTCCCCGCCGTGATATTGCTGGAATATTGCTAAAAGCAGCGTAAAACCAAACTCATTTTCACTGACTCACTCAATTGACCTCTGACTGGAAATAATACATTTTTACATGTAAAATTTCATGTGGATTTCTTAAGTGTTTGAAACAAGTAATGATATGGGCAAAACACTGAAAGCACGAGCTGTGAACCACGGCCTCTGGATCAATGTCACATAAAAGAGGATGATCAAACATTGTAACTTCCAAATCCTCACTTGTTGGCCCATGCTACAAGCAACGGGTGCTAGAATTTGGTTGCTTGCTCGTATATTTAAAGGCGTGTCCAGCTATATGACGGCGAACCGTAAAAAATCAACTCTGATCCAGTGAGACCATTGATTGACATCATCAGCATCGATACGGGCATTTGGCATACGATGACTCGCATCAACCAAGTCAGCGAGCCTGACTACCCACCGCGATTAGTAAATTACACCTTACAAGTTGCTGAAGACCAAACCCATACTTTCATAACGTGTTCTTACAATCATTTGAAAAAAAACAGACACTGACACCCGTAAAGTTATATATTTATCATCGACAATGATAGAATTCGATGTCATATTTTGATCAAGATCTATTTTCTGGAAAGGTGAGTTTTTTCGACATAGGTAGGCCTGTAACAGTGTATAATCTCTTCTGACAAAACAACAATATTCCAGCTATATCTGGAAGTAATCGAGTCTGGACCACACAATCCAGCGATAAACAGATTGATCATCGATCTCCACAAACGGGATACGATGACACATGGTCAATCAAGTCAGCGAGCCTGACCACCTGATCCCGTTAGTCGCCTCTTACGACAAACATGGGTTACTGCAGATCAATTCTAACGTGGATTTTCGCCTGTACAAAAAGAATGTTACACGTTGGTGATAGTTACGTATCTAAAAGACATCAAAAGAATTAAATGTTACTGCAGGGGTTCCTCGAGGATCTGTCCTTGGTCCATCTTTGTTCCTTGTGTACATCTATGATTTACCTGAAACTCTAACAAATGTCAAAAGATTGTTTGCCGACGAAACTTCAACTGGTGTTGCAGGAAAAGATGTAAAAACCATAGAATCTACTCTTAACTATGATTTAGCAAAATTGAATGAATGGGCAGACAAATGGTTAGTTACGTTTAACCCGAATAAGACAAAATGCATGCTTTTTAAAATTGAAAATTGTCCACAAGTTCCTGACTTGATTTTCAATACTGAACATTTGTAACGTTTACATCGACATAAACACCTCGGTGTCATCTTTTCAGATAATACAAAATGGTGTCATTATTACATAACTTGTGCCCAATCCCTTTCAACATTGAGTAAGATATGTTCAAACAAAAGACATCAGCACTTTGACGTAATGTGAAGCACATTAATGCAGAAAGCACGACTAAACAACGCCTGATGGGATGACTGGGACTGTTAGGACGGCATTGTATCCCTGAGATCTATCTTACCTCTTGAGTTTCATATGGGCACCAAAAAATGAGAGCCATGACAAGAGACGAGAAAGCGATAACACTAGGCGAGAAAGTGATAACATGAGACTAAAGTGATAACATGAGACGAGAAAGCGACGACACTAGACGAGAAAGCGATAACACTGGGCGAGAAAGTGATAATATGAGACTAAAGTGATACCAATATACAAGAAAGCGATAACACTGAGCGAGAAAGTGATAACATGAGACGAGAAAGTGATAACATGAGACAAGAATGCGATAACACTAGGCAAGGAAATGACAACATGAGACAAGAAAGTGATAACATGAGACAAGAATGCGATAACACTAGGCGAGAAAATGATAACATGAGACGAGTAAGCGGTAACACTCAGCGAGAAAGTGATAATATGAGACTAAAGTGATAACATTGGACGAGAAAGTGATAACATGAGACGAGTAAGCGGTAACACTCAGCGAGAAAGTGATAATATGAGACTAAAGTGATAACATGAGACAAGAACGTGATAACATGGGACTAAAGTGATAACATGAGACAAAGAAAGTGATAACATGAGACTAAAGTGATAACAGACGAGAAAGCGGTAATATGAGACAAGAAAGTGATAACATGAGACTAAAGTGATAACATGAGTCAAGGAAGTGATAACATGAGACTAAAGTGATAACATGGGACGAGAAAGTGATAACATGAGACTAAAGTGATAACATGAGACAAAGAAAGTGATAACATGAGACGAGAAAGTGATAACATGAGACTAAAGTGATAACATGAGACGAGAAAGTGATAACATGAGACAGGAAAGTGATAACTGAGACGAGAAAGTGATAGGTTGTTGCGACTTAAAAAACGTCTTGAATTCAGTGGACCTTGTGTTACCAGTGTGGTTAAAGCCACGTTTTGTCACACCAGAGAAGACTTGAACGCGAAGAACATGTGAAGCCCATCCTTCCTGCTGCCCCTTGGAATATATCACACAAGGGATAAACCAGTCATCCGATTAGTCAATCTGACAAAAGCAAACTTCGATCAAATTATACAGTTGAAAATACATAGAGAGACTCTTTAAGGTCTATATATTTGTTAAGTGCTCTTGGATGGTATCACTTTAGTGTAAGTTTGAATGAAAGTGTGCCAATAGCTTTTTGACAGCCACTTTTCAACAAGTCCGTTTTTCAACTGCGAGTGCCCCTCGGTGTGTACTGAAACTAGGAATGCGAACCGGTAAAAACAGTCTGACCTTTCCCCTCGGAGCATTGTCAAAACGCAGCATAGCATGACAATCGGAACGCGGATCGTATTGACTGACCCTTGCAAAGTAGCCGTGGGTCAGTGGACTGGCTGAGTACGGGACGGAGGTAAGTTGGCTGTATTCTGCATGTGAGGGTGTGATCTACTTCAGTTACCACGTACTATATGTATTAATTATCAGTTGTCAGGTGTTCGAATCTAGGCTGCGACGTACCAAAATGCAAGGTTGTTCTTGTTACCCTGCCTGCCGCTCGGCACTATGGGGCTGAAACAAGGTGTCTCTATACTATGTCTGACTGGGGTATCCGTGTTTATCGGTGACATTTTATCTCCGTGGGCTAACACCGGTATTTGTCCGGATTAGTAAAGACAGTTCACGCGCATACATGCCTACAGAAGTGCAATATTCAAATTTCACCTCCCCAGCTTTAAAAAACCCCTACAATTTTATTGCCTGCATAAGACTATTAGCCTTCTCAGCGCGCCGCCATGCTTTCTTCTTTGGGCTCCTTTATCCTTTCTTCTTACGTCAGTAGCTAGTGAAGTCATATTGCTTACTGCAAGACCAACGCTAAAGAACCTTCTGTTTAACCTATAACACCATAAGGCTTCATTAGTGTCCGCTATGGTATGTTTTCTTCTTTACGTCAATGGCTGGTGATGTCATACTGCTTAATGCAAGACCAACGTTAAAGAAGCTACTGTTAAAAATATCACACTTTAAGGCTTCGTTAGGGTCCGACCCGTGAAGGTCCGGGTTAGAATACAGATCTTCAGTAACCCATGCTTGTCGTAAGAGGCAACTAACGGGATTGGGTGGTCAGGCTCGCTGACTTGGTTGACACATGTCATCGGTTTCCAATTGCGCAGATTGATGCTCATGCTGTTGATCACTGGATTGTCTGGTCCAGACTAGATTATTTACAGACCGCCGCCATATAGCTGGAATATTGCTGAGTGTGGCGAAAAACTGAACTCACTCACTCACTCATTAGGGTCCCCTAGAGTATGTTTTCTTCTTTACGTCATGCAATGGCTGGTGATGTCATAATGCTTAATGCAAGACCGATATTCGGTGTGGGTTTGTTACAGAACTGCATACTATGTCATAGCTTATACCCGCATGGTTTGAAACTTCGATGGTATTAATCCATGCTGCCTTCACGCGAATCTGTACAAAGAGGAAGGAAGTAGAACCCATCCTCTACAGTCCAGGGTAATATACATCCTTTCGGCTCCGATTGGAAAGAGGCGTTGGGGTAGCCTAGTGGTTAAAGCATTCGCTCGTCACGCCGAAGACCCGGATTCGATTCCCCACATGGGTACAATGTGTGAAGCCCATTTCTGGTGTCCCCCGACGTGATTTTGCTGGAATACTGTTAAAAGCGGCGTAAAACCATACTCACTCCCTCACTTCGATTGGAATCACAGACACAAAGAAAATCGCTTGATCGAAGTGATACGCACGGAAATGTCTATAGAAATGTAGTGATAAGAGACGTCATCCCCACAGTACCAATGTACCAGTGTATTATGTATTAACATAAATTGTTCAACGTTATCTTAGAAAATATGATTAGCAACACTTAATATCTCCCTGAAATTAAGACATGTTGTGTTTATTAGTCACTTGATTATCTGTCACCGTGACGTGAAGATGTTACTAAACGTCACGTTTACATTCCTGAAGATGCGTCTCGATCTTTGTGAGTGAGTGTGGTTTTACGCCGCTTTTACAATATTCCAGCAATTTCACAACTGGGGACACCAAAATGGACAACACACATTTTACACTCGTTAGGAATTGAACCGGGTCTTTGGTGAGACTTACGAAAGCTTTAAATAAGCACAAGGCCCCCACCCCAACAATCCTTGAAAATATGTCCGTGAAACAACACCGGTAGCCTTCACCTTCAGGGTAATCTCTGCTTGAAGGGCATTCTACGTAAAACCTGGTCTAACAAGTGTGAATATATGACACCAGACTATAATCGTCTAGCATCCACTAAGGATTGGCTTCTTGTACAACTGGCCAAGCGTGAAGTGAATGACCGGCCTACCTCTAACGCTGTTGTGATAAGGTTTAATCGGGTATAAATAGCAATGACTGGCGACCTTCGGTCAGAGGACTAAAGTGGACAATACCATTTTGAGAAATGTGTAGTAACTCGTGACGGATCGTGTATTTCCGGAACTGAGAAATGTCGTTTACGGAGAATGACGAATATGCGGCAAATGTCTGAAGGAAGTTTTTCTCCAAATCGCGGGGCGGTGGCGTAGCCTAATGGTTAAAGCCGCCGCTCGTCAGGATGAAGACCCGGGTTCGATTCTTCACTTGGGTACAGTGTGGGAAACCCATTTCTTGTGTTCACGGTCGTGATATTGCTGGAATATTGCTATAAGCGGCGTAAAAGTAAACTCACTCACTCACAGTAGTTGTCCTCATCAGTTCTAATACCTACTCAGTGGTTGGCGGTGGGTAGCCTTAGGGTTACAGTATTATCTCATCCCACACCAGGTTTGAATCCATATAAGGATAAATAGTGTGCTGCCATCTCTAGTGAATGCGTGAGTTTAGTTTTACGCCGCACTCGGCAATATTCCAGCTATATGGCGGCACATCTCTAGTGTTTCCGACTTGAAATATAATAAAATATTGCCAATAGCTGACTAATATTAACACCATTCATTCGTTATGTTAAAGAATGTCGTTTTATGATAGGACAGTAGGATAAGGGTCACCTAGGTGTGTAACGTGTGAGACATGAATACATGCCAACAGCGTCAGCTGGTCTGTGTTTTCAACAGTTGAAGGACATGTTGTTTATGTCCGTGTCAAACAAATTGGACGATTTTATAAAACTGGGGAAATGGATAACAATGAAAAGTGCGAGATAAACATACAGGAAAGGGTTACCCAAAACACACGTCGTTGTTTACCCCAAGCACGTTCAGTACATGATAGCCAGTTACTTAATTAAAACTACTTTTTCATTTAATTAATTACGTGAGGAGCAGCTGAACAAGAGTCTTTGAATTTGAAAATTTCTTATCAGCTGAGTGACCCCTCAATGATGACTCTGAGCAATCAGTTGATCGGGTGGTTAAGAACCGTGTGGGATTCGAACCCAATCTCTCAGGCACGATAAGCCCAACAGTCGCCAGCGGCTTCAGTGAAATGGAGGTAAATTATCAGCGATCAAACCCACTCAGCCACTGAGCACTTCGACGAAAATGGGTGTTCGACGTCTATACATAATTGTGTACCCGTCGATCTGACAAGTGTAAGTTGGTACTGCGCCCATGACCGAAAGCTATGAATACACATTGTCTCTCAGAAAGTGAGTGAGATTGGTTTTACGCCGCTTTTAGCAATATTCCAGCAATATCACGGCGGGGAACACCAGAAATGGGCTTAACACATTGTACCCATGTGGGGAATCGAACCCGGGTCTTCGGCGTGACGAGCCAACGCCTTAACCACTAGGCTACCCCACCGCCCCTTTTTAGAAAGTTGTCAAACGTAATAGATGGTATTGTCAGGTTCGAATCCCGGATGGGAATCAACCTCTTATAAAGTACTAGGATTTGTACTTAAATAAGAAAGTGAAATCCCAAAATGTCCAATTTGTTATAGATGTACGAACATGGCTGAGTGTTGGAGTTACACAACCTTTATCAAATTATCCTGTTCGAGTTCCTCTTTAATTTATAATCAAAATGCGTAATAGTAATATACGCGTCCGTGATGCTTCTGTCGGCTTAGGGCGGTTGGGTAGCTTAATGGTTAAAGCGTTCGCTCAAAGACCCGGGTTCGTGTCCCACATGGGTACAATGTATGAAGCCTATTGCAGGTGTTCCCCGCCGTGATATTGCTGGAATGTTGCTAAAAGCGGCGTAAAACCATACTCACTCACTCATTCTTTCGGCTTCAGTGCTCTGCATGAACGTACAGCGACAGCAA